CTAGGTGTTTTTGGGTTTTTTTTAGCTGAGCCCTCCTGCCACCTGTTGGCAGCTCAGCAGCTGCTCAGCTCGGGCTGGCAATCGAACCGCTGTTGCTCAGAGCTCGCACTCTTGAGCGAGCTCTTAACCAACTGAGCCACTCAGCCGGCACCTCCTAGTTTTTTAAAAATAGAGATCAAATTGTGGCAAAGCTGTTCAAATGACATCTAAGTATTATGGGCCTTATTAAGTTAAAAATAAAAAGGACTCATTCATACTGAAATTAAATCTGTTATTTATTTTATAGATGAAAATTTTTATTTTTCCTGATTCTGTTTCCTTTTGAGCCCTATTAGCTGGTCATTAAGTACTCAACAAAAAAATTTCTTAAATTAACATGTAATAGGAATATCAGGATTTTGCCCCTGTGGTGAGTTGCCATGCTGGTACCGAATCACCACGTAGGTGGTTTTTACCCTCCTGCATTGGGTGTTGTTGAGATAAACCCTACTTGTCTTACAGCTACCTGAGGGGCACTAGGTCAAGAAATGAAAGCTTTCTAAACAAAAAGTATATAAGTTTTGTTATACTGTATTTCCAATTTCTATCCCTTAGAGGCCTTCTCACCATCATCATTGAGCCAGAGGATGACTCTTACCCTAAGTCCCTTAAAGCTTAAAATTTAAAAACATGTACCATATGACGTCTTGGGTGGGTGGGGTTGTCTTCCTAGGAGGAAGGATTGAAGTTAACATTCCAGAAGCACAAGTTGATGGCTAATGGAGTAATGGGAGATGGACATCCTCTGTTTCATAAGAAGAAGGGGAACAGAAAGAAGCTAGTCGAGGTGAGTGGTAGAGATATTGTTTAATATGATTAGATAAGATCTTTTTATTCCCAAAAATTTATGAAGGCAGTTGGGATTGAGGGACTAGAAGATGTTAGAGTTATTTTATGGCTACCATTGGCTCTGCTCCCCCTGTCTCCCTGCCCCAAAGAAGAGTATGTGCTCATGGGGGTGGATTCTGGGTTTGCAGCTGGAGGTGGAGTGCATGGAAGAGCCTAATCACCTTGATGTGGACCTGGAGACCCGGATCCCTGTCATCAATAAGGTGGATGGTACTTTGCTGGTGGGTGAGGATGCCCCTCGCCGGGCTGAACTGGAGATGTGGTTACAGGGTCATCCAGAGTTCGCTGTCGATCCCCGATTTCTAGCGGTGAGTGGCAGTTCCATCCAGCAAGATTTAAAGTCGTTCCCTTGGTTTTTAAGCTGTGTGAGAGGGAGGAAGCATGCCATATTATGTCATTGTTTCTGCATCTACAAAATTAGAATAGTAGTACCCAGTCATCTTACCTCACAGATTTGTTGTGAGGATCAAAATAAAATAATGTTAAAGCACTTGTTAAACTAAATGCTAGGCAAATATTTCCTATTAAACTATTATGTAACCACCTAAAATTTTTGGAGAGATTTGTTTAATGGCATTTTTCCACTCTTTTATCTATGCAATAAGCACTTATTGTCAAACCAGATACTAGTACCTTAATAATTACTCCAGAGAATATTTTTATTCCTGTAGGATAACTGAGACTTTTCTGTTGCAGTATATGGAGGATCGCAGAAAACAGAAGTGGCAGAGATGTAAAAAAAATAATAAGGCAGAATTGAACTGTTTGGGAATGGAACCAGTACAGACTGCTAACTCTCGGAATGGAAAAAAGGTGAGTGAGACTGAGGCATTACCACTCTGTTCCCACACTGGATGTGACTAGAGGAATTATTTAATGCTCTTTATGTTTTTGCCAGTGCATTTCCAGTTTGAGAAATTTTCAATCTGCAGTCACCAGTAAGGAAACCAGAGTATTTTTATTGGTATTTTTACAGCCCTCTGGCATCATCATCTCTAGAAGAGCATAAAATTCTAAAACTAATTTCAGCACTTTAAGCATATTAAAATATAATAAAAATTAGTAAGATGTGTTAGAATATTAAAGGCCTTATCCTGCTCTTCTACTAACTAAAGGATTTTTGGCAAATCCTTTAACCTTTTCAATTTGTACATCCTGAAAAGTGAGGGGTTTGGAGCAGATAATCTCTAAAAGTTTTATGATTCTATATATCTCAGAAGTGATTTGGAGGCCTACAAAGGAAAACAGTCATGGGGTTTCCCAACATTTAAGAGGTTGAGAATTATTAATATGCTAGTAATGTAAAAAGGGTAGAAAACCATGTTTTATAGTTTATAATAACAATTTTGGTCAGTAGTTTATTTCATTATTTTCAAATATAGCTGTGCTTTTTTATCATGGTTATAGACTATTTGATAGATTACCCATAATCCTTTCCACCAAATTATAACTGGAAAACTTTGAGCAATAGTTATATTTTTTAAACATATATAAATCATGGTTCGGTTTGGTAAACGGTCATTTAAAAGTCGATTAGCACTTTTGAATACTCACTTTATCTAATCATTCCACATTTGTGTATACTCACTTTATCTAATCATTCCCCATTTGATCTTTTATATATATGTTTTTATATATATGATACATATAAACCACATGGTTTCTCTTTTAACAAAATTGATTTCCAAATGAACAGTATCTTCTGCATTTAACATTCTGAGGACATTATTTTGTACATAATCTATATTTGTGATACGAATTTATGAAGTTTATTATTTTCATATCAGTGCAAGTGGTTTCATATAAATATTGTTACTATAGAAGAATGGTTTAATTTTCCCTCTTAGCATCTATGGGACCAAGAATGTAATAAGCAGAATGGTTGATATGGGAGGCTAATGGCTAGAACGCTGGTACCTTCTCTGTCTTGAATTTAACTTTATAGAGCAGCCTGTAAAGTCTTTCCCTTCTTTAGTTCTAAAAATAGTATTACTTATTTTTACCCCCAAATATTTTTGCTGCTTCTTTATAGCCAGTTGATAACTCTAAGAAAGAAAGGATCATAGGAACTCTCAGAAAATCATAATATGACTAGTACAGAATTCTTAATGCAGAATTAATGGTGTATCTAACACTATGTATTTTATTACTGGGACCAGCAGGAGTTTAGGTGCTATTATAATAGTTTACAAGTTTATACAAATAGAGTTTTGAGATATTTGTTTTCCAAGTCAGAAAGGTATATTCTCATGTCTGGTGTTAGGCTTAGATTGGGAAATGTCCACAGACAGGTACCAATTGTCTGAGTTTATGCCAGTTTACCTAGTACTGCACTTAGGTCTAGCAAAGCAGAGGGAGTAAAAGTAATAATTTCCAGCTTCAGTGAACTTAACCAAAATTTACAGTCAGAACATCTAGAAGAGGCAATTTAAAAGTCAGCAGATACATAAGTTTTTTTATCTATGTGAAACTTACTTTATTAAATTTGACAAGGAGCTAGCCACAGTCTTTTTGATGGGTAGACATCCAAAAGTCTAATCTGACCTCTCTTGAATTTACCCCCCTAGAGTAAATAATGAAGGATAGTATTGTAAATATCAACATAGTTGTGAGGCACTTGACATGATAAGATCATGTGAACAGCCTGCCCTTAGTATACTGTGCAAGTACTGATTCATTCAGTGTCTTACTCAGGCACCTCGTTAACAAAGGTAAGCATTTGTGAAGTGGTTGGCCAGAGTAAACGTACAGTGTAGTCATGAGAAAAAGCAAAACTCTGGTTCACATGAGTATCAATATCAACTTCATTTTAGCATCAGAATGCTTCAACCAGCCATGTCCAACATTGTTTCCATCAAGCTGCCTCTTACTGTCCTTGTTTTGCCCCTCCTAAAGACAGATTCAGTGAAAAAGCATTTGCAAACTAGGACTCTGTTGACGTCTGTTTTGTTTCTTCCTCCGCCCCTTCCTTTTTACTATCTTTTTCTGTTCCTTCCTCCCAGGGTCACCATGCTGAAACTGTGTTCAACCGGGTTTTGCCAGGGCCTATTGTACCAGACAACAGCAAGAAGCGAGCACGTAGGATGCGACCAGACCTTTCTAAGATGATGGCCCTGATGCAGGGTGGAGGCACTGGGTCCCTATCTCTGCATAATACCTTCCAGCACAGCAGTAGTAGCCTGCAGTCTGTGTCATCTCTGGGTCACAGCAGTGCCACATCTGCATCTTTGCCTTTTATGCCGTTTGTGATGGGTGGTGCAGCATCATCCCCTCATGTAGACTCCAGCACCATGCTTCATCACCACCACCACCACCCCCACCCCCACCATCACCACCATCACCATCCAGGCCTGAGAGCCCCTGGCTACCCTTCTACACCAGCCACTACCACCTCTGGTACTGCCTTGAGGTTGCCACCACTGCAACCTGAGGAGGACGAGGACGATGAGGATGAAGATGATGATGATGATTTATCTCAGGGCTATGATAGCTCAGAAAGGGACTTCTCACTCATTGATGATCCTATGATGCCAGCCAACTCAGACTCCAGCGAAGATGCTGATGACTGAAGCCCCAGCATGGTCCCCATTGCTTGGGTGGCTGCTGTATTTTCATTTACTCTGGCCCTTGGACTATGGAAAAGTGGGAGGGGCAGGGGAGATGTGGGGAAACCCAGGACTCCAGGAGGTGAAAAGGAAAAAGAAAACTTGTACCTGATTGCTTCCAAATTTCAGCAGATTGAGCAGGCAGGGGAACTCCTAAAATAATACACGACCACTTCCTCATTTCTGGGGAAGGAAAGGAGACTAGAGCAGCTGAGGCGCTCACCCCTGCCTAGACACCTCCATTAACCACAGACTATGTAGCGCTGGCCCTAGCCTCTGGCAGAGCCCGTTCCTGGCCGAACTGTGGATACAGCTGGAGGGTCAGGAACTGTTACCTTCCTTCCCTTGGCATTAATAAATTTAAGTTAATCCTTTTCCACTCTTCCCTCATTCTATATTTGCTCCAACCCAATATAAATATTAATTTTAAGAGTTGCTGTTCATGATGGGTAATTTTAACACCACCTTCCCTAAAGTTCATTACTGTTAGTGCAAAGTTAACTTGGATAGAGCAGACAAGTCATCTGTACTTTATTAAAGGATTTGTGTAGACTGTCCAGTTTGCTCAAGGTAAGGGAATGATTTAAGCTGAATAATAGGCAAAATATTGTTCTAGATTCAAACTCGAAGTTCTTATAAGAGATGAGAAGGAAGAATTTCATCAAGAAACACGTACATTTTGTTTTGAATTAACTGAAGTAACGGTGCTTTGGGGAAGCCATAGTGTGTCACTTCATGAACTGCAGCAAAAAAAGAGACTGGAAAGACGCTGTCACGACTTGGTCTTTGGATACTGAGTTGTGAATCCTCTCAAGCCATTTGTTTCCTAGCGCCCTTCCCCTACCAATCCCAGCGCTCTGATGAAGCCTGGGCATTTTATTTCCCTTTCTAAGGTGAAGTTCTTCCCCCATAGCTTGGGTCTTAGTTGTATCAGGAGGGTGGTGGGCTCGCTGTATCATTTTTGAGATTTCTGTGTCCGTGCGGAGCCCTCAATCCAGCGACCTGGTATCGAGGATCCTTCCAATCCTGGAGCAGCAAAGGCTTTTGCTTCCCCAACATTTCTAGGAGGGGGACGTGCCCAGTTACGCTGTAGTCTTCCCACGCCATAACGCGCTCTTTCCGCTTCCCCTTCCTTGGCCGATGGGTGGGGGCCATTACATCCGTGCGCGGCTGCTTGTGAGGGGCGGGGTTGGCACGTCAGGTCTCCCGCCTTAGCATTGCCCAGCCGCAGACATCTCGGCAAAAAAACGGAGCTCCTGGAAACTGCGGCCCTGCAGCGAGTAAGGGCGGGGGCAGAGCGTCACGTGATGACGTAGACTGGCGTGCGGTTGCTAAGTTGACAAGAAAACCCCGCGAAAATCCAGACTGCACATTTTGTTGATTCCCCCACTCTTCCTTCCTCCCCCTAACCTCCCGAGGGAGGATTAAAGAAAAAAAGGGGAAAACAACAACAACAACAAAAAAAAACCCCAGGGCTGTCGGGACCCGGAAGCGGAAAGGGCACCTTTGAGGTCGATACTTCCGGGTCACTGAGAGAGTGCGGGATTCCGGGGCCGAGAGCTGGTGGCGGAGCCGGGAACTCGCGTGATTCTCGGGACCCGAGGAGGAGCGGCGTCTGTGGCTATGGCTGTGACTCTGGACAAAGACGCCTATTACCGGAGAGTGAAGAGACTGTACAGCAATTGGCGGGTGAGCTAGATCTCGTAATTTTCCCTAGGGAGCCCCCCTCCTCCATCCCATAATAACCCTGTTTCTCGGCGCCCTTTTTTCCCTTTCCGTCGGGAATTCCCGGGTTCAGTGTCTCCCCCTTTAATTGCTCCAGGATCATTCACCGCAGGCGGCCCTGGGCGCCTCCCTCACCGCAACCGGGACTCCCCTGCAATCACCCTTCCTTGCGGCCACCACCATCTTTCCCGCGTGCCGGCCCCCGTCATGCATAAGTCACCTCTCGTAGTCTCTTCCCGCCTTAGAAGAGGCATCATTCTTCCCTCCCACTCTGTGATCACGTCTTGCTGCCCCCTCCTGCAGTGTTCACACACACCCACGCACTCGCTCTGTCCTTCCAGAATCAGAGTATTGCGCCCCAGGTCCCGCCAGAATTACAACCATCTTCGTAAAGGATGGATGGAGGGGCTAGGAGGATGTGAATCGGCCTCTTTGCGTTTCTTTTGCGGGAGTGAAAAAAAGATACCGCTCACGCGCAACCGCCTCATGTTCTAGGCCCTGCCGTGGATAACACAGAAACCTAGCGCTGAGAACCTGCAGGCAGGCGTTAGTAATAGAAAAAACGATGTGATGCATAAAATCTCATTAGTTTTCCTCCTTGGTAGAGTATCCGTGGCACGTGTCAGAAAAAGCTGATGCAGTTACCAGTTTTTTAAAGATGGGCAATTTTGCTGCTTGAAAAACGTCCACAGTTAAAATTTATTTTTATGACAGTAATTTATCAGTTAAAATATTTGGTTGTATCCTGTGGTGCAGCCTGAGCTGTCTAGCTTAAGCCTGGCCTCTGAACTCTGTCATCCAAGAAAGATAAAGCTAATAAAGACTTTTTAAAACCTGAAAAACGTCCTGACAAAATATTTTCAGTTCTGATTTCAGCCTTGTAAATTAATTGCCTTTCAAATTGATTCTGTACTAAAAACCAAGCAATTAAAATTGGTCATTTCCCTGCCATTCATATGAAAGGTTCTTGTGCATGTTTCTTTTGAGGATAAATGCATTAGATAATTGAAAATAAAGTGGATTCTCAGTTGCATTTTATTGAAAGCAAAAATAAGGACTGTATGCCAGACAAGTGCTGAACATAAATTTTATTTTTTAAAGTGTTTATTGGTTAATTTTTATCAAATGTTTTTACAGCTCTCAGTTACATTTTTAAATTTGAATATGATCTATGTTAGAAGAACTGTAAAAGCCCTAAAGTTTTCTAAAGATTATTAAGTACTAGTGTGCAGGTAATAATCAAAAGCTCACTTTTCCACCCATAGACTCCGAAATTAGACACCTTTGATGTGAACGTTGTTTCTAGTCCCAGTGATCTAAAGTTTATCGAATTATTCTTCATCCTCTCAACCATTCATGAAAGCTAAGGTTTAGAGTCTATATAATAATTAAACGCAAAGCATGGAACTAGGGAGAACTTGAGGTTTGATACAGATTGGCAAACTTAATCTCAAATGATGGTCTTTAAATCCATGAAAGTTATTGGTCCCCGTTTTTGGTTTCTCAAAAATCATTAAAATTTATCTCGGCCCTCCTCTGTAACTTAATGACATCACTTGAAGGGGAGATGTTAGATGTTGGTAAAACCCTGGCGTTACAAAGTTGAGCGAAGTCAATATAAAAGTTATTCATTATCAAAAGGTGTAGCTAATTATTATAATAAAAATGTTATTTGAATGGACTTTCTGCTTTTTTTATAACTAAATTTTAATAACTATGCCCAAAACCCACCTGTAGAATTTCTATATTTAGTCTTTCCTGGTTACAGTACTTTCATTCTGATCTGCTTAAGCAGTGATCATAGTTTTCTGGGATAAGTTCTGGTTGCTTATCCTCTTAGCTGTAGCAGAAAGATAGTGACATATATAGATGCATATTATACCTGTTTTTCTTTTACACTTTTTCCTTTTTTAATAAAAATGGCATTGAAATAAGTGAATAACTTGAAGTTAACTGTATATATCCCAAGCCTGTGTTGTCAGCGCCCATCTTCAAAGAAATCTCTCTTATGACAGAAATTAACTAACTAAAACATTAGTTTGGGCTCCACACCCACTTCATAATTTTAAGCATAATACCTCTAAGCATAATAAGCTTTTCAGAGAGCTGTGTGGTTGCACACGCTACCACAAGATAGCTCCAACTGTCTTCAACTACGTAGAGTTGTAGAGAACTGAAGAGCTACTAAACTTCTTTTTTTTAATAGTGGGAGCTAAGGTGGCTCCTAATCGCACCTATTAGATTGTCGGAAATATCATGACGCATTTTTGCAACGAAAAGCAAAAAATATTTCATGACTTTTCCAACAACCCAATATCTGCAAGTTGAGTTTGGGTTAGGCACATATTATGGCGCCACTGCAAATAAGATGTATTATTTCTTAATTACAATTTTCATAACTTAAGTCCTAAAAACAGTTGCAGTATCACACTTAACTGAGTGGAAATTTCTAAAACAAACTTTATACCAGAGTGAATAGTGTCACTTTAGAGAAGAGAAAATAGGCTCAGTCAAAAGTCAAACAGGAGACCTCCATAGTGACTACAACTTATTACTGTTTTATGACTCTTCTTGAATGTTTGAGTCTAGTCCAGTCTTTCCTCTATTTTAAATTAGAATTCTTATGAGCATAAAGGGTTTTGTGTATTTCTGCATTAGAAATCCCTAGGCTATAGTGCGGGGGGCCATGGGGAGTCATGAAAGGGCTGTGGGCGTCTCTTCTGTCCTCTTATACTTTCCTCTGGGTCCTTATTCAGATCTTCCCAGTCTTTTCATGCTTGTGATTTTTTTTTTTTTTTTTTTTTTTTTTAGATTTTGATTGGGGAATTGGGGGATGGGAACAGTGCTGGGGAATTGGGGGAAGGGGAACAGACAAATTGCTGTCCTTTTCTTCTTCAGTATAGTTGTGGAGGACGTTGCTTCACTGGCCCAAGTTGGCACGATAATTGCACTCTTCCCGGGTGAGGCAGATCAGTCGCCGGCTTCTGGACGGCCGCTCACGCTGGCTGCTGGCTACACACGGTAGCTCATGGCAACCCAGTGCAGCAGGGGTTGCAGCCTATGCCTTCATCAACAACTCACAGCAGCCCAGCTCCAGATTGAGCTGTTGTTCAGCATCTTAGCTGCAGAGGGCCCTCATATGTGGGATCCGAACTGGGGCCCTCTGGCGTCCCAAGCCAGCTCTTAACCATCGCGCCACTCGCCGGCCCTGCTTGTGATTATTTTTAGCCATGTAATACTATTAGTACTGCATGGGGTATGAGGCAGGGAGGTTACCCACCATTCTGGGGTCCCAACTGCTTTGAGAGCTAAGGGATACAATATACAGGCACACCTATAACTCATTTGAGACCTACCTATTATGACATCCTGCTGTGAGTGAACCTTGACTTCAGTCATCTGCCTCTTAAACAGAAAGAATGCCATAAAACATCAAAATAGCAGCTGTTTTCAAAAGGAATGCTGATCCCATGCGTTCATTCATGTGCTCTACCAGTCACGATTGAGGTGGTGGGTGGCTCCAACCCTAAAAAGAAAATTTGTGCTGGTTGAGAAAACTAATAAGCTATAGTGTCAGTGCTTCTCTTGAGTGCCGCTTTCTGGCTCTTTGCTCTTTGCTGATTTTTGTCATGGACAAATTTCGTATTGTGGATTGCTCTCGAAGACTAGGCATCCATCTTCTGTGGCTTAGGAAGTCTTTGAAATATAGGCAATTCCCATACTACTTTTAGGAAGATAATGTTCATCTCAGTTCTTTATGGGTCCTTTTTCTCTGGAGGGAGTTAGAGAAAGGTTTAAATAATGCTTTGCTCTCTTGAGTGAAGATGGAAGTAAATTCCTGGACAGGTGGGATTCATTTACTCTTGCTTACTCAACTTTTATAATATTTATTTTTTTATCTCATTTACTCAGTGTAATTAGTGCCTGGCATGTTATAGGCACCCAGTGAATGATGGTAATGATTTCTGCCTCCCTTTCTAGGTTTGAAGAGATTTCTATCCAGCCTATACTTAGGGTGACCATAAGTCCTGCCTTTCCTGAAACTGTTCGTCTGTTGTTCCTGTGTAAAATGGCACACCCTTTTATTCTCCAAACTGTCTTGGTTTGGATGATAAATTATATAAATATCCTAACTATAACCAGAGACTTCAAAAATGTTACCTTTTTTAATGCAATACCCATTTGGTTCAAAGGAAGAAATTTTTCCTGTGCTGCAGTATTTCCCCAACTTTTGTCATTCAGATACCAGTCACAATTTTTGATGATTTCTTACCACTTACATTATTTACCTTGCATTTGAAAAATTATCAAGTAATACATACATAGGTTTAAAAAACCAAATAGCATAGGGCTGGCTGAGTGGCTCAGTTGGTTAAAAAGCCAAATAGCTCTAAAAGCCTTAAAACAAAAAAAATAGTCACCTGCACCAGAATAAACCACTTTCAGTTCTTCTCTTTCATATTTTGAAGTAATATCTACTGCTATTTCTTGATTTGTCAGTTTTTTATGTTAACTGTTGTTTTGGTAAATTAGGATTTAAATTTAACTTTCCAACTTCCCTACCTCTTGATACTTTTAAAATTCCTTCTTGATACATTGTTATAAAAAATTTCAAGTATATAGAAAGGAGAAAGACTTTTACAGGGAAGACCTGTGTCTCCAGCACCTAGATTATAGTTAATATTTTATTATACTTGCTTTATTACACATCAACCCCTTTTGATAAGTTTTTTTTTCTTCACTTTTTTTGGTAAAACCAATAGTTTATATTATTAATGCTCATATGAATATTTTCACTGCTGGGCAAAGTAATGGAGTGGTTACCTTTCCTTTTCTCTACAGTTTTTATTTTTCCTGGCATTAA